ATGATTGGCTCAGCTCCTTCACCACTGCAGGAGGCGGAGCTAATGACATAAAAAACTGATGTTTGTGTAAAATTATACTTGGAGTTTTTCCAGATCTCACGTCTCTGCAGAGCCGTCCTTCTCTAATAGACTATAGTCCTGGTGTTACCTCACCATGGACCTGGACCAGCTTGAGCAGTGCCAGGACCACAGCTCAACATCTAGTCTGTCCTGGACCCACCTGATCCGACCCGATGGTGATTTTCAGTCAGCTGAGGGGATTTCTGCGGCTGCCTGTCGGCTCTGAAACGGAACCATAACGAGCCACGGCCGAAGCTAATCTAATTTCATCCCCAGTCACTTTATTGCCTCTTTCATTTCCATTTCCAGGGGAAGCAAACTCTGGAGCTGCATGCGTGGGCAGCGTGTGCACGGAGAGGAACTGCAGGCACAGAACAACGACTCTTAAATCCACCTCAGCGCTCTGCTAAACAGATTCTTCTTCTATTCAGTTCTGATTCCATCTAATGAAAAGTAAAGTGAGCTTCTAACAGCAGCGTCCCCCTCTCATCGGGTAAATCAGCTGATAACTCCTGTTAACAACCAGCGGAGGAGAACACCTCCAGAATTCACTCACATCATCTAGCCAGAAAACCAGACTCAAGCTGACGTTTTCTCCCCAAAAGGTCAGAGTCACTGAGTCGCTGCAGCGTTCAGGGAGAGAAACGCTGTCTGCTGTTCTTCTGCTCCTCGAGAGGAGATTGTTTCCACATGTGGCCGGGCGCCAAATGATCTCGCCAATAATTGGGTTATTATAGCCTTCAGAACCGACTACAGCAGAGTCACGTGTCAAAGCAGCCGCCAGGAACCGGTGGAGACCCGCGGACTAAAGCAGGTTCATCAGCTGATGCTAATCCCCCCCATACACACACACACACACACACACGCGCTGATGTTTTTGTTTGAATCCAGTCAGGTTAAAGGTCCGATCCGCCCACCTGTGTGAAACATCTGCTGCCGTTTCCAGACACACTCACCTGCTGTTGCTCCATCTGCAGATCTGAATGCAGGTTTTTGTTTTCTCCACCTGCCAGCTGACTGGAGCTCCAGCTGCAGCCCGTCGTTATAATTTATGCAAATGAGACGCTCGGTCAGGGAGAGTATTCGAGATTGTTTTGCCGTTTGTTACCTGGTTTGGCTTTTGGTCCCACGCCGGACGACGGAGCTGAAGCTGCCGAGCTGGAGTCGGGAGCTGAGGGTTCTGTTGGGAAGGCCAGTTTTCCAGTTTCGGTTCACTAAAGCATGAACACATGAAGATGTTCTCCGGAAGAAGGTAAAACTCACAGAAGTATTGAAGTAACTAGAAACTTGTAAGTAACTTAAATATCAACCATGACATTCCAGCGTTGATTTTAAACTGTCTCAACTCCAAGTGACGACTTACATTCCCACCATGTAACCGGAGAGTTATCATGCCCTTGGGCAAGGCACTTCACCCTCCTGCCGTTGGTGGTCAGAGGGACTGCATGGTTGCCATGGCACCTCGAGCAAAAAGACCCGCCGTCCTGCGCAGACGACGACTACAACCATGATTCCTCTAGCTGTAACGGACACGTCCACAGGGACACGTTGGTCTCAGGTGTCTTCAGTCAGTCTGCCAGGTAGTCACACTGCTGCTAGTATCAGGGTGTGTCCCACACTGGACGTAGACAGCTGAGGACGGAGATGTCTCTGGAGATGAGGAAGACTGAGCAGCATGTTAGAGGGGAAGGCTAGAAGAACATCCACAGGCAGATTGGTGATCCTGGGACTGCAGGTGGACATGTTATTCAGAAGATAAAGGGCCAGGGGACAGTGGACAACCTCCATGGACATGGACACGAGAGGACAACTGATAACATGAAAGAAAACGGAAGATTTCAGATCAGCTTCCAGAGATTAGAGGTCGACAATGAGGTCAAAGTTCATCAGAGTGCGATCAGACCCTCTCTCCCTGTCTGAGACAAGGTGGACATGAGGAGAACATCTGCTGATCTTGGAAACCAGACCAGAAAACTTGTTTTACAGTCAAATTTATTTCAGGTTGTTTTCTGTTTTCTTCTTTTTAACAGAACGGCTCCAACTTCCCACATCTGTGAATAAATCAGCGGGTTTCTTTTCCTCTCCTGTTTCATGTAACTGGAGTCCAGTTGGGAGGAATGCTGGAGCAGCAGGAAGCGGATGGAGGTTGACGTCTCAGCGTGGAGGATGGGGCGGTTTCTCCTGCAGCTCGTTACCAGAACCAGAACCCAGCAGAGATGTGTGATCCATCAGGACGGGTTAGCGTTGGTGAGGAATGGCGGCTGCATCAGCGAAGACTCGTCTGGTCACCGAGAACGAGAAGAATCCTCCTAATTGTCCTCGGTTTGTGAAATATTAATCAGTTCCGTCTCTTTTGTCCTCTTCCTCGTCTCCCAGCTGGGAAGAACACAGAGATCCTAACAGATTTATTCCTTTGCCTTCGGCGTTCCAATCAGGAGGTCTGGATGAAGCATCCTCCTGACGCTCTGAAGACAAACTGTTCAAAGCGCCGTCCTCCCGGCGGTGGAGACACCTGAGCAGCCCCTGGAAGGCTCCACAGGCCCTCTTCTGAAGATCCTGCTGAAGTTGGCTTTTGGATATTTTCAGCAACATTCTGCAGATCATCATTTTAACGGAAGGTTCAGTTCATTTAGGAACCGTCTAACCCTTTAAGCTCCCCTTCAACATGGCAGATGGCCTTTTCCTTTTTCTGCTTCTGTGATTCAAAAAGGGGCAAAAATCAGGTGTGAGCTCATGAAGTTAAGATCAACGTTTGAAATAAACGTCTCCATATTTGATAGAATATGTTCAGTTTTAAGAGTTTTTCCAATAAAATTCAGTGAAATACTCAATAAGATGTGGAGACTAAAACATCTCCCTTACAGGTGGAACGTTCCCTACAGGTTGGGAATGAGCCTCTGCCTCCAGGTGTTCCTGAGTGATGGAGAAGAGAGGAACAGACAGATCTTCTTCTTCCGGCTCTTGGAGGGTGCAGACGCTTTTCTTCTCCTCTCCTCCATATCTTATCCTCAAGGCCGTTGTCTGTCTGTGTGTGCTGGGTGCACGGCTGCTTCTGCATTTTTTCTGGAAACTGAAATTCACTAAAATGGATCTCGTCAGTTGGTCTCTCAACGCGGTTGATAACATTTTTTCAACGATGAGAATGGGAGAAGGGGCTCCCAGATGCCCCTCCGGGACAGACCAGCTGTCTGAAGACGTGTGGATATTCGTGGTGTTGGTGTCGGGTTTCCTGCTGATTGGCCTTGGAGGCTACCTGGCTTACCGGAAAATTAACGAGCTGTCGAGGAATATTGGCCTGATCCCGGAGCTCAGAGATGGATTGCACCGCACTGTGAATTCACAGACTCACATAATTGTCGAGATGAATCGTAAGCTTGGGACTTTGGCCGAGATTCATTCTTTGGCACAAAAGATGGATGCCATCAAGGAGAGAGTGGACGAATCAGCACGGATTGGGATAGATTAATGTCCATTATTGGGATTCTGAGAGGTTGAGGATCAACAAACTGTAAGACAGAGAGGAAATTATCTCTGTCTGGCCCCAAAACAATTTCTAATCAGAATCTGGTGCCCTTGAGCCTGCAAGGCTACAACGAAAACTCCCCCCTCAGAAGATATGTGGAATGTGCTGTCACTATGGCAACTCAACTCTGTCTCCTATCCCAGCCTGGGCGGGACTGCGGGAAGGCCGCTGAAACGTTCCAGGGTCACTGCAACCCTCCAACCCTCAATGCTCCTCCCCTATCCACACTGAGGTGACATGCGCTGCTTATCGTGGCTGCAGGAACTGAAGTGGGGATAGTCCCAACCCACCACCCCACATAGTGGACACTTATGTTGTGTTGTCTGAAGTCTGTTGCATATCTGTCTGAGGTGTTTTTTTGCAGAGCAAAGCTGTCCTCCTGGTGGAGGGTAACTCTGAAGTGCCTTTTTCCCTCCACCTGAACCAATCCTCATGTAACCCTCTTATCTCTATTAAGGTAGCACGACTCAGGGTTGCGAATGACCACAGTTACCAATTCTTGTCATGTGTCTTGCCCACGTATGTCTGATCTTAGAATTGTGTGTACTGGAACTCTAATTTCCCTCTGGGATTAATAAAGTATCTTTGATTCAATTTGATCTGGACTTTGTCTTCAGTGACGAGGACGTTGCTCTGGGTGAAGATCTGTTCCTCTAAAGCTGTGAGATCAGTCATCCAGGAGGAGCTTGGAGAGCTGCTGCTGCTGCTGGGGTGTTTTCAGGCATCTGGGAAGGATCTTTCCCAGTTGCCCCACCATGGCAGGTTTTCCAGCACATCCCACTGGGAAGAGATCCCCTCCTGGGAGTGGGATGTGCGTTGGGTTCCCTCCTGGACCGGTTACCTGGCCAGAAGATAACTTCCATCAGTTCTGAAAAGACCGAATGTCGGATCGTTGCCCCTGAGATCTCAGCTTCTCTGATCAGGCAACAAATGGTCCAGATGGAGCGCCGGTGGCAGAGGAGTTAAGTCCCTGCTCCGTAAGTGAAGGGTTGCAGGTTAGAGCCCCATTTAATGCAACTGTTGTGTCCTTGGGCAAGACACTTCACCCTCCTTACGTGTTGGTGGCCGGAGAGACAAAAGGCGCCCCTCTGTCAGCGAGCAGAGCAGCTGTGGCTACCATGTAGCTCATCACCATCAGTGTGTGAATGACTGGATGTGTTAAAAAGGGCCTTGGGGGGTCGTACATGATACATCATGTCCAGAGGGAGTCTAACACCCAGGACTATGGCTGCAGAGGCTCCAGCTTCATGACTTTCTACTTTTCCACCTCGGGAGCTCCAGAGATCCAAGTCTTTACCGACCACCGTTATCACACAGTGGGGTGCAGCAGCGAGGCCAAGGGGCTAACACCCAGTTAGCATGCTAGCATCACAAAAAACACGGCTCCAGTATGACATCACATAATTCACACAGGATGTTTGTTTTTGTATCAAAACTTTATTTATCAAACAAAAAGAATGAACCATTGAAATAACGTTTCTATAAAAAGCATCAATGGGACTGTTCTAGAGTGCGTTACCAAACGGAAAACAACCAGATGGATGGAAACAATTCATCATCATCATCATCACCATCATCACCCTCCTTCCACATGAACTAAACACACATTTTAAATGTCACACAGTTAACTTGGTAGAGAGGACTCGGGATCTTTAACTCAACCTGAAGATGAAGGACGCGAGCGTCTGCGAGCCAGAGGAAAGGCTCGATTTCACGTAGCTGATGACACGAGGTGCTAATCTTCCTTTTTTTAGCAGTCGTCCTCAAACAGGAGTCGACTTCACACCAAACTTTCTAAAACAGAGGATTTCTGTTACAGGTTTTCCTCCTTAAATGTTCAAACAGACGAGAGAATAAAAGCAAAACAACGTGAGGAAATCAGCGTTGGAGGTCTCCTGTTTCCAGGAGTTTGAAGTTCTCTGTCGGTTTGTAAACTTTGGTCCATTTAAATCAGCCTTTCTGTACCTTCAGAATCCATTTCTACCAAGATTCTCTGAGATGAAATATGTTTTTAGCATAAAACAAATCTTCATGTTGTGTTACCCCTTCTCTCCACCGGAGCCGTCAGCAGCACGTTACTGCAGCGGCACGTCTTGCTCGCGTAAGCTGCTGCTCGGCCCTTCCCACGGGACGCGTAGCAGCAGGGGAGCAGCTGTCACCGACCGAGCACGAAATCACACGAGTGACTTCGTCATTAAACACAACAACAAGCAGGCGAAAACTACAACATGGTTTGTGTTTTATGTTCTGTCCGTTTTATAATCGCCAATACGGACCTGAAAAACAAAGGAGACCGCTAGCTAGGTGATAACTTCTCACGGGGCCGCACAGTTAGTAACTTTTTTTAAAAGTAAAGCAACCGGAAGGCAGTACGTTTCTTTATTCTGAAAATCTCGGGAGCTTCGCTCCATTTCCGCGTCCAATTTCCTGTCTTTCCTTCCCCAAAAATGTCGAACTTGACCCGTTTCAGAGGCGTCGCGCGTAGAAAATAGAACCGGCGCGTAAAGGCCGCGACATGCTGCTCCTGAGACGCTGCCGACTCGCGCTGCTGACGGCTCCGGTGGAAAGAAGGGGTTAGAGTTCAATCAGAATCAGTAAGTTTGTTGAAACCTGTTCTTCACCAAGACATGACTCAGCAAAAGCGTAGTCCCCCTGAACGACTACGACCTTTGACACTAAAGCCGAGCGTCGAAGTGGATTAAAGTTAGCTAACGACACTCCGCAGGTTAGCGGATGACTCGTCTGCATCTGTCCTAAACCTTTTCAGAACAAACAGCTGGATTACGAACATCATTTAAAACGGTGTTACTCCAGCTGAGTTGGGTCAGCTCCTTCAGTCACCGGTTTGAGCCCGAAAACTCGGATTTCCCACCTTTAATGTGATAAACTCTGGAGCCCAAGTCCGTCCCACGAGGAGGTTATGAAGAAGTGCATAGATGAGATCAAAGCTCCGACCTACGTGTCAGAGACAGAAAATCAACACGACGACGTCTAAAACTCAACCATCGGTGTCACACGATCCTCATGAATAAATCTAAACGTTCCACAACAACAAAAATAACAACAAAAGACGGAAACCTTTAAGGCAACAAACAGAACCAACAAAATGACAGCACTTCAGTCCTTTTTTACTAAACTAAATGCACATAATGCTGAAATATCACATGGTTATAAATAATAGATTTCAAGTCCACTGGAAATAAAGTAATAATATATTAAATTTGATTATAAAAAAGTCACTTCTACTCTAGAGGAGCTGTACACTGTAAAAAAAAGGCAGCTTTCTGGAACGTATTCTGCTGCAGCAACGCTTTCGCCTCACAGTAAAGTAGAAACCAGGAACCGAACAAACGCAGAAATCAAACATCTGGCGGGTTTGAAAACGTGGAGCATCACATCTGTCCTCGTGAAACCGGAAGGTTTCAGCTCCGGAGGGAATTCTACTGGCAGATACATTTGAGAATGAGGATAAATGGGATGTTCTGAGATGCAGGATGGAGCTTTTAGCTGCTTCCTGTCAAAATAAAAGCACCTGCTCATAACGAGCTTTTATTTTGACAGGTTAAACTTCTGTTCAGATAAGACTTTGGTTCGTGCTAATAGATGTGGTCGAAGTTCCTAAATGTTACACCTAAAGCAGTAAAAACAACCGTCTCCGGTGGTCCGACGGCCACTTTACCCAGAATGCTGCTTGCTTTATAAATCAGAATGAAATCAGCGAGCTGCCGGCGCTCTGATGAAATCTCAGGTTTCCACCGCCTGGTGGTTTCACGTCCTGTTAAATATGTCTGACAGCCGCTGCTGAAGATCTAAGAATCTGGCACTTTGCTTTTGGGATAAACTCTCAGCTGAGCGGAGCGGAACGCCGTCTCTTCCCTTCTCCGTGTGTCGACTTTACAGCAGGAGCAATTTAATATAAACGGAAGTTTCACAAAGACTTCAAATAAAGTGTCTAAATGTGGGAAAAGAACAAAACATTAAAAAGTAAAGGCACAGAGGACGTCGTCTTTATCCCAAAGGCAACAAAAGAAACACACGAGGACGGAAACGAGAGCTAGATGAGAACCGGAGGGGCAACGGATCCAGATGTTTGTTAATTCATCCAATCAGCCTTCAGCTACTCAAGTGTTTATGCTTCTGAGACCTGTCCCTCTGACCCCTGACCTCCGCCTGCTTCACTGATCAGACCTAAAATGGCCGCTCATCTCCAGCCACCGTCCACGCAACGCTCCCGTTATGAAACGATTCTGAGACATCTGCACTGAGCCAGCAGGGGGCGCCAAAAACAAGATGATTAAGTAAACGAGCTGCTTATTCTGCTCCGGTGGTGAATCTGGAATCTAAACAAGAAAACCTGAAACTGTTCACTCCACAGGCAAAATTCCTGTTTCTACAAAACTCAACACGTTTTCCACACGAGAACCCGACAGAGAAGCACGTGGCCGCGAGATCACATGACCAGAGTCACACGTAGAACACACCTGTGTCACACATGCGCATTTTCCATGTGGAGTTAGTGACCATTGAGCCACCAGACACAAAAAACTAAACGCGTTGCGGTCAGCTGAAGCACCCCTACTGGCTGGCTGCAGGAATACTTGTAAGCCCCGCCCCTTTATGCAAATGAACATCACCATTTGTGACAGAGGAAAATAGAAAACTACAGCTGCTTGTTGTTCAGACAAGAGGAGTTCTGCTCATGCCTGTCGTGTGAAACGGTCCTCTGTAAAAGCGAACAGCCCACGACGAGAGGGACATTCGCCGCTGATCAGGAACGCTTCTCTCCCACGAGTCTTCGGCTCAGGAACCTTCTACAGATTCCAGAAGCAACTTAAAAGTTTAAAACCTTCCAGGATGATCCACAGAAGTGGAATGAAAGGAAGTTTTTATTCCAGCAGATGATGAAATGAAATGTAAAGAACCAAACGGTGGCTGAAATGTTCCACACTGGAAAAGACGACCGAACAAAAACCCTTTAATTTCCTGGTTCCGTCGTTTTTACCTTCCCACTCTGAAAGGAACTCTCCAGTTCGGGTCGGTCTGTTTAGAATTTATGGTGAAAATCCAATTTTCTGTCGGAGTCACACTTGGTCCTGCTCGGCAGCACGTGGGTCATGTCGTCTGCCCTCTGAAGGAGGCCAGGAAGCGTGTGGACTGGATGCATCGTACCTGATGAGTTTGATCCCAGCTGCCTTCACCTCTGCACCCCCCTCCACCCGAACCCATCGGCACCACCGCCAGGACTTCTCCCCACCGACGTAACGCCGCAGCGAGCGTGAGCTTGAATCGTAAGATTTAAAATGGCGTTATAATGAATTCCAGGCGCCGTTCCTCTGCGCCTGAGCTCGCACATCCGAACCAGAACAGAATATGGAATGAGCTGGGCTCGCTCCCTCGGGCCTTCTCTCTTCATCACACAAAGATAAAGGCCGTAAATTACAATATGGTGACTGAGGTGACGACTACAGAGAATACTGATTCCTGCTCTTCCTTCCTCTGCTGACGGATGACTCGTCATTTAAAACCGGTTTAATCTGGACCCGGTGCTCTGAAACGTCCGGGTTTGAAAAGCGGAGCAGCAACACTGGACTTAAGGGGTCCACGGTGTACACCTACGGGGCGCTGATTGTAAAGTAATACGCTTAAAAAGTAATGCAGCAAAAAAAAGACACTTTATAGTAAAAAAATATATAGAATTACGTTCATCAAAATTTTAAATTATTTAGATTCAAACATAAATTTAAATATTAAATTCAGACATATTAATAATTTAAATATTAAGCTGACGAATCAAATCTGAATGTAAAAAGTTACATCGACTATTCTGAACTCAGCATAATTATTCAAGGTTAATTTCAATAATAACTAAATTAGAATGAGTAAAGTTAACTTATAAGTCACAAGTAAAGTATACACCACCATTTTTAATAAAGTCCAAGTGTATAAAATCAAATCATAATATTAGAATTATATTTTTAACTATTAAATCAAAACATCTAAATAGATATCTCAAACAAAAACTAAATATTTAACTAGCCTGCTAATGCAGACAGTAATCAAAGTTCTGTTGGATGGCGTGTTTCTGTTTGACCGCAGATGTCTTACGAAGGCGCAGGAAGAACCAGAACAGAACCATCATTAAAGGATTCATGATTGGTTTGGACCTTAGTCCTCTTCAGCCTGGCTTCTATCTTAGTTAGCTACTTAGCTACAAATTTAGTTGAAGTTTGTAGTTTTCAGGGTATCTGCAGGTTTAAGGGAGCCAAATTTAAGACTTTTTAAGACCTTTTTAAGGCCACTTTGACCAAATTTATGGTATTTTTTTTAAATTAAATTTAAGCTATAATTTCCAGCTATTGCCTGGAACCGGTGCTAACCATGTCGTGAACATGGGATTAGCCGTCCAGTTACCATTAATGTTGCACTTCCCCGTGGCGCAAACTCCCACTAGCACGCTCATCTAAAAATAGTCCCCTTTCACAACCAACTGAACGTGTACGGTTCCGCTTATGCCAACATCATACACAAAAACGCTGAACACTAACTAGAAATTCACGAAAATTTTATAGAAATAAAAGAATCTTGTTTATTGGGTCTTTGGTAATTTAAGACCTTTGGAAACTATTTAAGTCCTTAAATTTGGAAAAGCAAATGTAAGACTTTAAGACTTTTTAAGGACCTGCAGATACCCTGAGTTTTTACCAATAATCTCTGGAAATATCCATTGAAACGTGAATGAAATGAAGTCCATTCGGCGGGTTCATACCACCGAACCATAAAAATCAGGTCTAAAGGACTTAGGGTGTGGGGTCTGGCGTTGTTGGGGGACGCCATATTGAATGCTGTGTCCTCCTTGCCGGCTCGGGGTCCTGCGCCTGTTGATGACATCACACTAGATGACTGGCTGACTACGAATTACGGAAGTCACGTTACCACGTTCAAAAACATTTAGTTAGTAAGAAACATAAATTTAATAACAAAACCACTAAACTCTTTCCAAAACATGTGAAAGAACAGAATCAGAAAAGAGATATGCAACATGTTTTGGTCGAGAGGTATTGCCGTGGAATGATGAGGTCATCGGCAGGTGCAGGACCCCGAGCACATCCAGAAACTACAGCGCCAGAAAACTACAACCAGCATTGCCTTGTCTTGATGGAGTCAACTGAAGGACCATCAAAGCCTGAGGTGTCACGCCGAGGCGGCGTGCTTTCTGCTCCAGGTGACATTTACCGTAATGTCTTTTAAAACAAGCAACAGTCACGGCGATATGCTGTAAACCTACCCTGAAATGTGCTGCCCCCTAGTGGCAGGTAACTACACACTGCCACTTTAAAAGTCGTTTTTATTTGTGGATTCCACCATTTAGACAAATATTTAGATTTCAATGTTTGATTTCAACAGAAATATTTGGATTTATGTTGAAACATTTAGACTAAACATCCTAATCTTCTGAGGCTAAACGCAGCCGTTAATAATTAAATGCCTTACTTTACGATCAGCGCCTCACACACACCCCTCCCCCAAAAGCCGATGGGAGGAGTCACGGCTGACGGAGGAGCATGTTCATCAGTGAAAACTCCAGAGTCCACAGGAATTCTCATCTTTTACTGGAACCCTTCAGTCGCCACCGCTGTGAGTCGGGAACGGTTCAGCTTCCTTCCTACAGGCTTCTTTTCCTGCTTTGGGAGAATTTAGACCCTAACAAAGGTTATCCGCTCCTGCCATCTAATTCTGAACAGGAGATTATTTCCTCTCCCACTAAAGGGACCGAGTGTTTCTGGTAAAATATACTTCTAAATCCCAATAGAAAGCTTCCAGAGCAGCCTTTGCTCAGAGAAATAGAGTTTACAGGACTGATGAGCTAACGGCTAGTCTGAGAGAGGCATATTCCTTTTGTCTTAAATTTAGAGTTCAATAGTAATAATCCTGTAGTTGTTTACATGTAAATCTGGATTATTATCTGGATTGTTTAGTTCAATGGTTAAGCTGAAGCAGAGGAAGACTTGTTTAAGTAGAAATAAGCTTAGAACGGTTTTCCACATATCTGATGGATTGTTCCCTGGAAAGTGTGACTGTGATATGAACCAGATGGTCTTTTATGGGAAGTGTTTTCTCGCAGGCATCAGGATGTCTTTTACACGCTGATGCGCCAAACTCGTAGTTAAATTCTGATAAATGGTGAGATCACCTGGGCCAAACATCATCCTGAGTTGTTTTAGTAGAAAAACGCACGATTTTCTGTTACTAAATGAAAAGTTGTTTTTCTATAACGATGCGTCAAAACGAACGTCTACAAATCCAGTTTCCTCTGAAACCAACACTGGTGTCAAGATTTATGGAAAACATCTCAAACGTTTGGGAAATGTAGCCGACTGGAGCAAATTTAAATCAACAGGAAGAGACTTTGTTCATCATTTAAACTAGCTGTTAGCGCATCAATCCACTAAACACTATTTCTCTGAACAGAGGCTGTTCAGGGAGCTGATATGGAGACGATATAAACCGTTTACACAGAAGCACACAAACATGGCCTAAATGAAGGTAATGCAACCAAAGCGACTCCGGTTGGGATGTTTGTTGGAATGATCCTGGTGACGCCGGTTATTTCCTGGTTCGATTTGATCTGTTTGTCATATTTCTGAAGCACTTTGTGGTTTATTAGAAATGAGTGTTAGAAATAAAACGGCTCAGTTATTCCTCCATCTCTCCATCTCTTTCTTCCCCAAACTTCTCCTCTGTAGTTCTCCAGACAGCAGGGGGCGCCACCGATCCCTCTGACAGGTTCTCCTGAAGCTTCCACTTGTTCTGATATCCAGTCTGACTGACACAGACACGAAAAAGCAGCAAAACCAGAACTGGTGACGATAAGCTTCCACGGAGCAGAATCTGGCAGCAGCACGAGAAGTTGGGAGAAGAGCGGGACAACGGAAGTCCACCGGGAATTTTACAGAGCCCAGGCAGAAAAACTGGAACGTTTCATCAAACGCGCTGCTTGGCTCATTCTGCAGAATTTCCTGTTCTGTCACAGAAAACGGGAGCTAAGAAAAGGAGAAAGCTGGAGAGGATCAACGGGAGCAACATGGAAAACAAAAGGAAAACTTTGGTGGCTGAGAAAGTTTTCGTAGAACTTCTGTAAACAGAGTGGAAAAATAAAGGAATACTTCCGGTGGTGGCGTGAGGTACGGTCACAGTAACCGAGCCGGCGTTGGCTCAGTGGAGGAGGACGCTAATAAATACCACAGCCGGGAGAAAAAGGCGGGAATTCCTCAGGTCCCGTTGCGTGGAGGCTGTAGGTGTCAGAGTTTTACGTTTGAAGTTCCTGAATCTTAAGGGTTTCCATTTAAACTCCCCAAGAACCCATCAGAACTGGTTCTGTTTGTAGAGTCAACGCTGAAAATCTGTTTAGTTCCCTTTTACCGGATCCCGATCCCAAAGGACGGAAACCGGGACCGGCAGGAACCAAAGAGATGGAGATCAGGTTACATCGGGGGCATCTTCAGACCCTGACTGACCAGTCGATGCTCGTGGTGACATCAAGGCTTGAAGACGGGTTCCAGACCAGTCTGTGGCTTCGGGGTCCGTTTCGGGCCAGGCCAGCGGCGTTGGCTAGAAGGCGGAGCCGGTGATGGCGTTGAGCTGCTTCATCAGCCCCTCTAGGCTGGCCATCTGCTCCGACAGGTCGTCCTGCTCGTAAACCTGAAGAAGGAAACAGAGATTCAGTTTTCCATGTGTGATGTTGTTCTGATGATGAAACACCAGAAACTCAAAGGTATCACATATATCGTTGTCTGAAAATGTTAGAAAAACCAAATATGGCGTCTCGTTCTCAGAAACGTCACCACAACCGTCCTGCAGGTTGTTCAGCTGCCTGTCCACACAGACGCAAGCATGACCTCAGTAGAAACTACACAACAGGAGTATCTATTTAACCTTGTGCTTGTGAGGGACGGCGCGGTCTGTCTCTACAGGTGACATGTAAAAACATTCCTCTTCCACGTACGACTCGGTGGGACACGTTCTAGACGTGGTCAGGTCCCGAGGGGCAGAAGACGGTTGTTAGTCAGGAAAACGTCCCAGAGGGGTCGAGCTGAGCGCTGCAGCCGGCCACCAGTGAGCAGCACGCTCCAAATAAGTAAACATAATAAAAGATTAATTAACTATTATTATTTACCTGTTTAATTATAAAGTGTTATTTGTTGTCCTATGGGATCTAATTAAAAATAAGTTGTTTTCTAATTAAAAGTGACTCATTTTCGGATGCTTTAGTTGGTAAAACAGATAAAACTTTAATAGTTTCCATCATAACATCACAAATGTTTCATGTTGATTTTTGCACCTGAAGGCAAACTTTGACCCAAAAGTAAACCTGGAATGAGAAACGACTCTGACGCTCCATAACCGGATGCTTTCCTCTCAGTTTCAGTGGAATTTCATCTGTTCAGCGCTGTGAGGAAAAGGTCAGATTCCATTTACAAACATCGCTCCTCTATCCCGACCTGCTCTATCCCGACCTGCTCCGTCCCGACCTGCTCCGTCCCGATCTGCTCTATCCCGACCTGCTCTATCCCGACCTGCTCCGTCCCGACCTGCTCCGTCCCGACCTGCTCCGTCCCGACCTGCTCCGTCCCGACCTGCTCCATACCGACCTGCTCTATCCCGACCTGCTCTATCCCGACCTGCTCCATCCCGACCTGCTCCATCCTGACCTGCTCTATCCTGACCTGCTCTATTCCGACCTGCTCTATCCCGACCTGCTCTGTCCCGACCTGCTCCGTCCCGACCTGCTCCGTCCTGACCTGCTCCATCCCGACCTGCTCCGTCCCGACCTGCTCTGTCCCGATCTGCTCTATCCCGACCTGCTCCGTCCCGACCTGCTCCGTCCCGACCTGCTCCATCCCGACCTGCTCCGTCCCGACCTGCTCCATACCGACCTGCTCTATCCCGACCTGCTCTATCCCGACCTGCTCCATCCCGACCTGCTCCATCCCGACCTGCTCTATCCCGACCTGCTCTATTCCGACCTGCTCTATCCCGAACTGCTCCATCCCGACCTGCTCCATCCCGACCTGCTCTATCCCGACCTGCTCTATTCCGACCTGCTCTATCCCAACCTGCTCTATCCCGACCTGCTCTATCCCGACCTGCTCTATTCCGACCTGCTCTATCCCGAACTGCTCCATCCCGACCTGCTCCATCCCGACCTGCTCTATCCTGACCTGCTCTATCCTGACCTGCTCTATCCCGACCTGCTCCATCCCGACCTGCTCCATCCCGACCTGCTCTATCCTGACCTGCTCTATCCTGACCTGCTCTATCCCGACCTGCTCCATCCCGACCTGCTCTATTCCGACCTGCTCTATCCCGACCTGCTCTATCCTGACCTGCTCGGTGTTGTTGTCACTGAGGAGAGTAGTGATCTTTGCGTGGTAATCCATTGTGTTTAGGACACCTATGAAGCCTTAAAGCGAGACCCCACAAGCAGCTACAAAAAGAAAGTTATAGCTTGCCTTCAAGGCCTTGAAAGGGGCAAAACCAATAACCGCCTGACATATCACCGCCTTTATCCAGGAGATGCCATACCCTGCATCTACGGACTTCCCAAGATCCACAAGGAAGGTATCCCTCTCAGACCCATTGTCAGTAGCATAAATTCAGTCACCTACAACATCGCGAAACACCTTGCTACTATACTTGCACCTCTGGTGGGGAACACCCCACACCACATCAAGAACTCCACCGACTTCACTGACAAGGTCCAGAAACTTACCCTGGATCCAGATGAAACCATGGTGTCCTTTGACGTAGTCTCCCTCTTCACTTGCATACCCACTACGGAGGCAGTGGAGACTGTCAGAAAACGACTACAAGAAGACAGCACCTTGGAGGACAGGACCAACTTCACACCCGATCAGATTTGCACACTGTTAGACCTCTGCCTCACCACTACATATTTCAAATACAACGAAGGTTTCTACAGACAAAAACATGGCTGCGCCATGGGCTCCCCCGTGTCACCTATTGTAGCCAACCTTTACACCGAGGAAGTGGAAAGAAAGGCTCTTGGCTCTTTTAAAGGGAGAGCACCCAGCCACTGGTACAGATATGTGGATGACACCTGGGTCAAAATCAAAACACAAGAAGTGGAATCCTTCACCACGCACATCAACGCCGTGGACAAAAACATCAAGTTCACCAGGGAAAACATAAAGGACAACTGCTTGCCTTTCCTGGACTGCGCTGTGCACTTTGAAGAAAATGGCAACCTCAACATTGAAGTGTACCGGAAGCCCACACACACGGACCAGTACCTCCTCTTCGACTCACATTACCCTCTGGAACACAAACTTGGAGTAATCAAGACCCTATACCACCGCGCAGAACATGTTCCCTCTAAGCCGGAAGGGGAAAAGAAGGAACACACACATATAAAGGAATCACTTAAAACATGTGGCTATCCTAATTGGGCGTTTATAAAGTCAGCAAAGATGCACAGAAAAGAAGACCAGACACCAGCAAGGGAGGATAAGAAAGACAGACGCAACAACCTTGTCATCCCCTATGTAGCCGGTGTATCAGAGAAACTCAGGAGGGTTTTCTCCAAACACAACATACCTCAGGCCCAGCAACACTGGTTCACCCAAAAGACAAAACTCCTAAACACAAACACTGCTGTACAGTGCAGCGAGGAATGCCCAGACCTCTACATTGGGGAAACCAAACAGCCACTTCACAAGCGCATGGCACAACATAGAAGAGCCACCTCCACGGGACAGGACTCAGCAGTTCATTTGCATCTAAAGGACAAAGGTAACTCTTTCGAGGATGCTAACGTTCACATTTTGGACAGAGAGGACAGATGGTTTGAAAGAGGAGTAAAGGAAGCCATTTATGTCCACTGTGAGCAACCATCTTTGAACAGAGGCGGTGGTTTACGACACCAACTGTCTGCCATCTATAATCCAGTTTTGAGATCCCTTCCCAGATGCCTCAATGCCCACGCATATCCTGGGCCATCTGACCTCAGGAATTCACATGATAGGGTGGGGCCAGGTTTCACAATGAGCTCACCCGAAACTCTGGCTGAATAGGACCCACACCCACCCCCACACCTTGGCTCATGTGTTTATGTAGAAGATCGTCAGGGGGTCTTTTGTTCCCTCTTCGAGGGGAAACTCCCACTGGGTTTAAATCTGGGACTCTCCACCATTTGACCTTAGAACTGAAGAAGCCTCTCGGATGAGAGGTGAAACGTCTTCAAGCAACTCAAAGAAGTCCAGACGCTTTTCTTTCAAAGCTCACTAGACTGAATTGAATTGACTGGGAGGGCTTCAGGCTAGCCACGTTCACGGGACCGACTTTGGGGAAGTCAAACCTGGAGTTTCAAAGAGTGCCTGGATTCTGGGATTAGCTTGCTTCTTGGAATACTCTCCTGGCCTCCTAACCTCCTATTTTTAGTTTGTCCAGATCTTTAAGATCCGTAGGAACTTCTAAACCGAGTCTTAACAACAAACATGTAACACATTTAGAACAAAAGCCAGGTGTGGTTGAACAGGCCGATTTTACAGAAAATACAAAAACGAAGCCAAAGAAAACTTCTTCAAAGTTGTTTTCAACACAAATCTGATCTGTCAGCAGAGCTTCTACGATCTACATCCGTCTGCAGAGAGGAAAAAAAATACCAGCTTGAAATGAGCTCCCAGAAAGTAAAAAAATCTCCACGTTTATAAAAAGCAGAAACCGGATTTAAAGGTTCTGTAAAGGACAGGAAGCAGCGACTCAGAGATCAGAGAATGTTTTCAGTCCAGCTAAACCGTCACCTCTGAGTGGGTCAGCTTAAGTGCTGTCTGTGTGTGTGTGTGTGTGTGTGTGTGAGACAGTCGAGTAAACATCTTTCACATTCACACCATCTCAGAGGTTATATTGAGCGTGGCTCTCATGCAGGCAGAGAAAAAAACGATTTCTCTCCTGAGAGCAGGAGGAGTCATGAAGCCTTCAGCAGAGATCAGTCCTCCTTAAACCGACTTTCATCCTTCACGGGTCCAAAACATCACCGCTGGTCCACCTCTACCTATAAAACACCACCACCCATCTGATTCCAGTTAGAGTCCGTCATCACCATCATCCATCCACCCTGAAGAACACATCTGCATCATCTGCACTGAGGAAAGAGCCGAGAACACCAAATCAGTCCCTCCACACCTGCAGACCCATGAAGACCACAAACACGACCACAGACATGGAGAAGGCCCTTGGAGTCCCACCATTCCTCACCAGCTGAGCTTTTAACTCAGACTGTCGGGAGTTGGGAGATGATGGAGTTCGAGTTAATTTGAATAAATAAAGTTTGTGTGCTCAGAGTTTATGTGGTCTATGACATCGTAGCTGTATGGTTTCATGCAGCCGGCGGAGTTAGGAGACATTTCTGGTGGCCATCTTGAATCAGCTGTAGACGCTGGTGCAGGGATGTGTGTCTTCTCTAGAATGCATCCAGCGGTTCAGGAAGTTGGTTTTAACAAATTCAGGTTTTCACACACCTTTGATCTTTTTGTAGTAAAAAAACATCTAAAACTGAACGATGCGGAAAAACAGATACGCGTTTATGTGGGACGCAGGAATAAAAGTTTTCATTTATAGAAATAAAATAATAAAATCCATGGAGAGTCTGAGTCTACTGACCCAGAAGTAGTCCTCTAATG